TCGCTCGCCTCTCTCCTCCCTTTCACAATCTCTCTCGCCAGGACATACAAATATATATGTATAATAAACAATTATCTAACCAATATACATATACAATTCACCTCTCTTCCACTCTCTCGCTCGCCTCTCTCCTCCCTCTCCCAATTTCGCTCGCCACTCTCCTTCCTATAACATGTAGCTACGAATCATAATTAGCAAACTATAGATATGGAGTGTAATTAGGCTATTTTTGAGTGTCTATATGTGTAAATCCCTCTTACTTCTATCCATAATTTTAATACTAATTAAAAATCTTGAAGGTGTTGTCTATAAATAAAATATATTTACCTCTAGATATATTTTATCTAGTGAATGTATCTCACCTATTTTCTTTCTCGCTTGTTTCTCTCTCTCTCTCATCCCTCTATTTCACTATATTTGTGTTTTACACTTACGTATTTGTGTATTCGAATATGCATTGATGTATCTAGTATATTTTTGTATATCTATAAATACATTGTATTTGCTTGTAGATACATTCTATCTAGCGAATGTATCTTGTCCGTCTCCTTTCTCGCTCGCTTCTATCTCTCTTGTCCCTCTAATTCTTTGTAATTACGTTTCATACTTTCATGTATTTGTGTATTCAGTATCAAATATACATTGATGTATCTAATATATTTATGTATATTAATTTTATCCAATATATCTAACATTGATTTCTTATATTTATTATAAGAAATTTGTGTATTCAATACCAACTATGCATTAATATATCTGGTATATTTGTATATATCAATTTCATCCAAGGTATATAATCAGTTTCATGTATCCATTATAAGAAATGCATTGATACTATGGGTGTCAAAAATGAGCCCAACTATAGGTAATCCGTTTAGAATTTTAAGGGTTGGGCTCAAGATAATTTGAATTGAGTTCAATCTCAACTCATTTTGAAAAAATCCTCAATTGAGCCCAATTTAATCTCTAATTTCGACCAGTTTTAAGACTCTTTGTATTGATGTAATGCATGTTTCTATATTGAAGGTATGGATTACTATATATTTTATATCTTTTAGAATTTATCTATCAATTTGTAACTTCTTTTAAAAAAAAATTCTTGAGTTGAAATTGAAATTGTAGTTATAAAACTTAAATAACAATATATTAAAATTATTGAGATTAAGTGGGGTCAAATTGGGCGGGTCAAGACCCTACCTTCTTTTAAGCCCATTTGAGTTCAAAGTAAACTTGGGGGGGTCATGACCCAACCCAACCCAATTTTTATTTCAATCCGTTTTATATCTCCACTTTCAATCCAACTTGCCTATTGAACACCACTAATTGATGTTACGACCCGATCTCGAAAACTAAGGTTTCGAGACCATTTTCGCAACTTAGGCAATTTTTGTTATGTTTTGGAAAAATTACAATTTGGAAGTCGCCACTTAAATTTTTAGGAAAAATTAAGAAAACCATTAAAAAGGATAATTTTTAAAAGAAAACATTTGAATAAACCAGAGCCGGGTAAGGGTTCAAATAATTCTCTAAGGAAGGGTTTAGGCATCTTAGAGAATCCGCTAACACGCGATTGACCGACGGATTTAAAAGCTTGGCAATTTTTTAAAAGAAAACTTAAATTACTTGAAAATCTTATTTTTATTATTATTATTATTTTAAATGAGAAATCTTTTGATACTTGTATATTCGTATTATCCCAAATATTGAGATAAGTCAAATGTTGAAGTGTCAACAGGATAATTTTAACTTAACATTTTATCCGAGTCAAGTTTTTGAGTCAAAAAATCAACACAATAACTTAAGCGTGGATTTGGAAGCTAGATACTAACTATGAAAGAATATAGATAATTCTCAAGTTAGTTTTGAAGCTTAGAATGCCTAACGTAAAAGAGTTTAAATTTTTTTGAAGAACTTGAACAAAATATCTCCCCAAGGATTCATCTAAATTAATAAAAGTTAGTAGTCAACAAATAAAATAATAAATAATAACACATCCGACATGGTAAAATATGACAAAATTTAAAAGAATTTGGACTTTTGGTCCAAACGCAGGTAGTTGCTATTGTTGCTGAATTCAAATTGGACTTTCTTTTAAGTCCAATTTTCAATTTTTCGTTTCAGCCATTTAGGCCAACTGCTGCTGCTGCCATAGTGTAAAATTGGACATTTTTAAGTCCAAAAATCCTCAATTTTAGTCCATTTGGGACTGCTGCAATAATCAAATTGAATTCTTAAATCCAAAATTCAATTTCTGGCCATTTTTGATTGCTATTACTCCGCTACTTAGCTGCTGCCACTGATTTGGGATTTAACCCATTAATTAGCTTCTCTTTCACGATTCCGATGAGGTTGACTCAAGAAGAGAAAATGCAAGAGAGGGGAGTCCGTTGGACTCATTCGGAGAGAGTTCATGCGCAAGAAAGGGGGGAAAATAAAGATTAGCAAGATAAACAAGCAAAAAATCAATATGAAATGATGATCAACAAGTTATATAATTCAATCCAATATTAAGGATTGTATCCAGAAAATAAAAACAACACACAATGGTACTAAAGCTCGCCAAGAAAGATTTCTGACTTAATCGTATGACTTTAACATGAATTGGTTAACTATATTTGCAAACTTAGCACTTCTATAATGCAGAATAGACAAGAGGATGCAACCTTTTATTCGCCAACTTTGATCTATGCAATTCAACAAAGAGAAAGTAACCGAGACTCCAAACCAACAATTCCCATTTCAAAATAAGAAGGTGACAGAGAAAACAAAAGTTTTCCCATAATAAAAAGAGGAGCAACTAGACGAAGAGAAACACAACATCACTGATAAATAACAAAAACAGTAGCCTAATATACGCGATTTAGGACCTATAGCTCGAAGGAATGACATGAGGATCTAAGGGATTTAGGAGCAACCAAAGAGAAGTTGAATTAAAATTCAACTTCATCTAGAGCTCGACTAGGCCTAGGATCAACTCATGATTCCCGAACAAATAAGATCCTCAACATATCATTTCAGATCATTCAAAATAAAACAAACATGTAGCTAGTGATCATCTCATCTTAAACAATTGATTTGACCAAAAAAAAAAAAAAAACCATTCAAGATGCTAAACTAAGATGAGAAAAGTTCTACTCAAAGCATGAGAATTCATCAAATCTTTATACCAACAAATTGATTAATTATACCTCAGTACCATCAACCACAATGACATCAAATAGTGACAACAAAATAGAGGGGGGCATCTGGAAAGAGGCTGGCAGTACATAGCCTTTAAGAACAATGGACAAATGAGCTATTGCATCTTGATAAAGCAACCAACATATTGGGTTACGGAATAAATGAATAAAAAATCTCTACATGACAACTTAAATATAAAGGTATAGAGATATTATTAAACAAGCTAAATTATCTAAGGAAAAAAAAAGTAAGGCATATTACTTAAAGGATCCAACGTGACAAAGCAAAATGATAGAAACGGGATTGGCCTAGGCTTGACAATAAACACATTTATATAGGCAAAACAAAGCTTCAAATGAACAACAGGGGCGGGGCTTGATTCAGGTGGCAATACAAATAGAACACCAAAGAAGCTAAGGAGATTTATAACCACAAAATATTAACAATAAGCCCAAAAGTAATATCATTAGCTACTTAAATATCAAATCAAAGTCTAAACCATGAAAACTGAAAAAAAACCTGAGAACACATAAATATAAAACAAAGAAAAGCTGGTAATTAAACAAAAAATAGCTAAGAAAGAATTTACCTCTTTCCGGGCAGCGAATTGAACGACGAGTTTGAGGGAGGCGATCCCACCACCTCTTTAAACTCGAACAGCCACAAAAAAACCACAAAATTTTAAACTATGGAACCAAGAATTCCTAAGCCTTTTAGGGTACTCTTTGGTCTCCGAAAATTCCCCCCTTTAAACAGTGAATGAAGTGGGTTTATATAGAAACCCAAAAAATCCCAAAAATAGATGAATTCTCGATGTGGGATTGCTGAGATTTTGAACTTCTTAAAGGATAAAGTGCGAGCTGTACGAAATTGTAATCGAAGAAAAGAAAAAAGGAAAAAGAAAATCGAAAATTGGAAAGATATTACCGTTGGGAAAACAAACCAAGGAGCTTCGCGTGTCCTTGGTCTCGTGCCAAGCACGCTTGTGTTGTACGATTTGAAGGAGAGAAGAGTAAATTGAAGCGGAGGCAAGGGGGTTCGGGTCGTTCTTGGTTTGCTGGGTTTGGCTTCGCTGGTGAGGAAGAAGATTTACAGGGTCATTCTTTTAATCCAAGTAGGCCTTGGTTAAAGGACCTGGTCCTTTTACCATATATCTTAATAAATTGAAGTATTTAATTAAATATTAAGCTTCTCAACTTTAACAATGTAAAATAATCATAACAATTAAAATTATTTGGAAATAAAGAGAGTAGTTATGTACTCTAATTGATCTTTGAGGAAATAAAATGTACACTTAGTTAAAACTCTATTTTTTAGTAAAACGATTTTTATTTTTTTTTCTAAATATCTATTCAAAGTAATAAATACATAAATCCATATATTATAAGTATATGAAGATATATATATATATATATATATATTATAGGTAAATGACCCAATTGCCTTGAAAATGGTCCCGAAAGATTCGTAAATAATTATTTCAATTTGTTTGAAATCAAAGAAGCTTGAAAATTAACTAAATTGTGGGGGGCCAAAATTGGGTGTCAACAATTGATACATCCTTTATATAATTACATAAAATATATAGGTATAAATTATTTTACGCTTGAAAAGTTTATTTAAAGAAGTGAAACAAAATTTTACTCTTATTTATTTGCAAGTAAATGAGATTTTCCCCAATAATACTAGCCGGGTCGGGTCAACAGTAACCCGCTTGATCATTTCAAAATTCAAATTATCAATCCTTTTTAGTTTTCGACCTCCCAATTCTCACCATTTTTAGGGCTCCCAATTTCTTCTCTGCTTAAAAGCGAATTTCAGCGAATTACAGCAAATCGCTCTCTCTATCATCAGAATTCTGAACAAAAATGGTAAATTCATTTCTCTATCAATTCTAATTTTCAGTTTTTTCTATGTGCACAGTCCACATTAACTGAATAAATCCAAAAAAAAAAAAACGTATTTTTCCGTTCAGATTTAGGGTTTATATGGACTCCGATTTTAATTTGCGTTGTGATCTATTCTCTGCTTCTTGTTTGTTGTTGAAAAGGCAAGAAATCTATTGCATATAATAGGACTGAATAATAAATAAATATTCCTGGTGTTGCTGCATTTGTTTCGGTGTGATTTGTTTTAATCATGTAGAAATATTAGTAAATTATGAAAATTAACAATTTTGTTTGAGCTGAGGGAGTATCGAAACAACCTCTCTGTGCATAGACAACCTCCCGAGATGCCATATGTGGGATTACACTGGCATTGTTGTTATGAAAATTAACAATTTTCAAGCTGTAAAATTCCATTTTGCTTATTAGAAGTTGAAGTGAATTTTGGTTATTGAGTTGAGTGAGCACATTAAACTAACATGAAAAGCTAAAATTAGAGCTCCCAAAGTGGGAGATGGCTACAGGAATTACCTATATCCATATTGTTCTACTTGCAGTCATTGCAATGCTCTTTTAAGACAAATTAGAGATTTGAGGTGGTCTATGTTTTGTTTCATTTAGCTAAAGGTGGACTGGAATTAAAGCAAGTTTGGGTTATTGAGTTGAGTAAGCATGTTAAAATAACAAGAAAAATAGACAATTAGAGCTCCCAATGACGACTAAGCTTAATCACAACTAGCTGGTATTGCCTACTTATTGTATCTAGTCGCTCTCTTAGTCATTGGATAGTATGGTTGTGAATGTAGTAGGATTTATAATGTGCTGCTGACGTTGCTTTATTAATACAAATGAAAGATTATACCACTTCTGCAATGTCTGAATTAAGAGTATATATTTATGTTCGATTTGTAAGAAGGTGTACCGGGGTGCATTCTGCATCATCTAGTTCCTTATGAAGTCGGAAGTATGGTATTGCGTTCATTTTTGGAACTTGCATATGTTGCTGCTTTGTTGTCACGTCTTTCTGTTCCAAGGCTACTTTGTACTTCCTTGTCGGGTATCTTTGTTTAGCATTTATTTGCTTGATGGTACGATTTCAATTAAATCCCATGCTTTGAATACTTGGAAAAGGATTACCATAGCAAACTCCTTGAGCCACTTTGTTTTGACTTCCATTCACTTGCCTTGAAGAGTTAAACTTAGTGACAATGCAAGTTGAGATAAATATGTTCAATGCTGATTAAGGCATAGAACATCTTAATGAAAGTAGTCCATGTGGAGATACAAGTCGGGTCATTTGATTAATTTATCCAGACCCTTCTCCTTTAGCTTTCGATCTGTAGTTTGTTTTATTCAGATGTGTGTTCATCTGTTGCTGAGCTGCTTTAGTGTCACTCTTCTAAACCTAACTATCACAATTTTCTGGCAGGATGGGCATGACGGTGATAATACAAAACAGAGCACTGCTGATATGACTGTGTTTGTAAGTTTTCTGGCAAAGACAACTCTAATTTCTCTAATTGATGTTAAGCAGACTAATCTCACTCTCTTGCACTCGTTAACAATCTTTAAAGTTTCTAGTCATCTCAATTTGTCACCACTGAATTATTGAAGCACAATTACTTGGAAAGTTGGAATCAATACTTCTTTTTTTTTCCCAATAGAATATTACTCTATTTTGTGATCTTTCATAAACAGATATAATTATGACACGCAACATGGCCCTGTAAAGAACTAGCTCTATTCATAAATATGGCTTTACCGTGATGCTAATTCCACGACATTTGGTTCAATTTTCATGCACTTGACATATCATACATTTGGTGTCGCTATCCCTTTTTTGGTCTCTAATTCTTACTGTTCTTTCCTTCTCTTCCAGGTCCAGAATCTTCTACAGCAAATGGTGAGTCCAGTCACTTTGCAACCCCTTGGATTCTTCACATGTATCAATTGTAATTTTCTAACTGATATTTTTCTCTTTGCAGCAAACCAGATTCCAGACAATGTCTGAATCAATCATCTCAAAAAATATCCTTTTTTAATTCAATGTTCCCTATCTGATCCATAGTTGCTAATATCAGTGTCATCTAAAATGCATCTAGTTATATGTAGCATTTCGTACAACTCTGAATCTACAAATGTGTTAACCACCTTCTTGGCTCTGAGGCTGTTGAGTGGTTCATTGTTTCCAGCTTTGCTGTCTTACAACTATTTAGGTTTGTATACTTTCTGCTGATCCTTCAACATGAATCTAACCTTCTTTTCAGGGTCGGTTTATCAGTGGGTAGGTTTGCTGTTTTCTTATTTCTCTTGTTGTCAGTCCTCTCGCATGTTAGTGAAATTTCTCATATTGGAGGGGTTTCATATCAAACTGTTCCGACTATATCTTTATATTAATCTCTTTTATGACATCAAAGCTTGAACAAAATATGTTTAGTCCTTGACAAAGCTGCACTTGACGAGATGGGAAACCGGATTGATGAACTTGAACAGAGCATCAACGATTTGAGGGGTGAAATGGGTCAAGATGGTGCTCCATCACCTTCAGCATCTTTGAAACCAAAAGAGGATGCGAAGCCAGCAGATGATTCTAGTGCATAAGCAAGCAATGATACTCCAAGTTGGCCATGTTTGTTACAATTGTTTTGATTTGAAAGTCTTGTCCCATTTTGTCCATTATGACATTTGGTTGTAATATGATACATAAACTGTGTACATGGATTCTTGGGTTGAAATATTTTGACCTATTCTTTTGGTCATTGTTGAGGTTATTAAAATATGCTCTTACAAGTGGATTTGTTTGAGATAATACTATAATCTATACATTTCTCTGACTGAAACTATTGAATTCTGTTGAACCCATCGGCTCGTAATTGGAGCTACTACAGGGTCAAAGCACTATATTTGTGGGTGGATACTGAGTCAAGAATGCAGGCATAAGTACTGATTGAAGGACATGCCTTGAGTACTAGACACCAGGGTGGATAATGTACATTATCATACTTTATAAGATTCCATCTACTTTTAATATAAGTAAGTGATTGACTACTTTAATTGAACTATTTAATATAACAAAACCTATGCTAGGAACTTATAGTATATATAGGCTTTGACAAAATTGTTTCCAAATGATGTCTGAGTTAAAGTAAGCAGGAAAAATGGTACTCCTTATGTCCTAATGTAAGACACTTTTCCCTTTTGGTTATCGTCATTATCAGATCCATTATTTTCTACATGACTCCTTTACGATTGTATTTCTTTTTCTTACCCATTGTAGTTATATTATGCTTTATTCGAGCTGAGGGTCTATCGAAATCAAACTCTCTACTTTCACTTGGTAAAGAAAGTTGTGAACTCACGGCACACCACCCTCCAAATACCCTACTTGTGGAATTACACTAGGTATGTTGTTGTTAAAAAAAAAGAAAGACATCTTATATTTTGTAACAATTTGATTTTAAAATGCTCAATTTACCCACGATGGAATGATGATTTAGAACCTCAATAATAACTAATATCTATGACTTAAACTCTGTGCTTAATCAAATACCATCACATAAATAGCATGTTATGTATGTTTGTATGTACATATGAATTCAGCCGAATTCGATAACTTTGGTCTACACAGAGTAGCTCAAATAGCTAGTAGGTTTAGTGGTATCTCTATTCCATAACATTCAAATCTTAAATCCGTCTCTGAAGATGATTGCTTTTAGATTTTAGCTGTAGCTCATCTTTATGCTTTAATTATTTTCTCATTTTGGTATGATACTATAATTAGATGGTTGATATATAGCAAGGGAAGTGTGTGGTGGGATATTTACTATTTAATTTCCAATTAGAGCTAATTTTGTTTGTTAATATATACCAAACGTGTTATGTGTTTGTCTTATCTATTTTTGAATTATTGAAGGATGATTCATTTTTCCATATACTGAAGTTCATCTCTTTAATTAAATAAAGCTATATAAAGTATCTTTTGCTACATGCTTATGCATGGAATTTAGACGAACTTGCATGAAAAGAAAGATATCTAGCATATAATTAGGTGTCAAAATCAATAATGTGTACTTTTATAGTCCGAACAGGAGGTGAATCCAAAATTTAAATTTAATGGATTTAATCTTTCTTAATATTAAATTCATTGTACCGCTAAAATTATGAATTCAAATCTAAAATTTATTGTGTATGGCGATTTATTTACTTAGAAATGACCATTTGTGTAGAATTGATCACTTCTATATATGATAATATTGGACAAAAAAGTGTGATTACTTTTTGAATTATATTCAAATAGGATGTTTAACTATTTTTATTAATTAAAGTCATTTATGCTTTTAAGCTCTGTATTATCCATTAAATTAAAAAAGGGGAATTTAATGTGAAAGTTATTAAGCATATATGATGCCACACATTTTGTAAAGTACACATGCATTAATAGTAATTAGGCTGTTACTAAAGTAGATTATTCGAATAACAATATTTTTCTCTTTTAAGGCATCCAATTAAATGATTTACTGCATACTACTCGCAGGAAAAGTGGAGAATTTTCTAAACCGTTATCAGTACAGAAGCAGAGGCGAATTCAAGATTTAAAAACAAGCATAGTTATATTATATTCAATACCTATGATGCCGGTGATAGATGACTGAGCGTGAGTTCAATTTAACTCACATAATTAGTAGCGAAGCTAGGAATTTTATCAAGGGTGTACAAGATTTAACGTATATGTATAAGAAATATGATATTATTTGACATTTATACACAAAATAATTTTTTAATAAAGGGTGTTCAACTGATCATATTTTCTCGGTTGTAGCTCACCCCTGCACTATAGATTACATCGAAAGACGTAGTCGATAGACAACATGTGAATATTCCTATACTACCCCTCGTTGGTTCCGAGGGACGGAGGAGGCTAGGTTAGCCGAATAAATCACCCTAAATCCACTTCTTAATTGAAGTATAGAAGGGTTATGTCCTCTAGAGGTATTGGTAATCTTTTATAATTTTTTGACCATTTATTAGTAGAAAAGTAATATTTTAACTTATATACCTAGTATGATTTTCTGACGAAAAACGTCTAGCTGGCTACCCTTTTTTGGTTAGAGCTAACCCTTGTACAGAACTCGTCTTATATTTGCCTCATCGTTGAAGTCCTCAAAGATACTAGTAATATTGACTTAACAAATTACTAGCTAAGGTGATTAAGAAAAAAAACATTTGATTTTATATACATTGTATAATAATTCGGAGAAGGATGTTCAACTGACCATTCTTTGTTGCTGATGTTACCTTGCCCCCTGCACAAAATTCCCTCTAGATGTTATTTTAATCTTTGATTAATTCTTGACCATTAATTAGGGCGATAATGCATGGACTTTTAAGAGGCTCCACACACATAAAAGCATAAATGCACATAATTTTGGTGTTTCCAGCTCAAAGCATGATTAAGCAACAATAAAGAATATGGATTAAGATAAATGTATGAAAGCAAGTCTATTCTACTTTCCATTGTGAAGAATTTTGACATTACTTTAAAAAGCATTGATGATATAGTTCTTTAGAAAGTGGGATGTTTCTATTTAAAGCTTTTAAAATTGTACAAGAATTTCAAAATTCTTGTCATACTTTCATTTACCTAATGATTAATGTCTTTCAATAGTGAAATTCTTACATATAGTATAGCCAAAGTATGGAATAAGATTTGACCTAATAACAAAGGGTTCTCTTATAGATTAAATCAACTAAACTTGCATTGTTCTAACTCACACTCTCCTTTTGCCTAGGGGCCACCAATTAACTATGTTGCTCGGACTGTTCAAAAATGTTATCGCATACATGTGTTTTATGTGCTTCAATTATCATACTAGTTCATTGTAAGTTATTGTTCTTTCTTTTGTATGTTATGTACTGCTTTCCACAGTGCTATATTTCGTTTATTATCTTTTTCAAACTACTTTGAGCTATGATTTACTTGAGTTGAGAGTCTATCAGAAATAACATCTCTATCTTTATGAGGTAGGGGTAACTGGTAAGGTAATGCATACGCTCTACCATCCCCGGACCCCGTTTGTGAAATTACATTGAGTATGTTTTTGTTATTGTTGTTGAGCAACATAGCTAATGAGTCAAGTGTTCTTGACTTTCTTTTTTCCTTTCTTTCAATAAGTGGTGTTTGAGCCAACTTACACGTGCCTCGACTATTGAATTAACTATTAACTATCAACCATCTCCCATCAGTGTAGGTGTTGGATAACTCTATCATTCAAGTCACCCAAGATTTTCACCTACTTCGTTGACATTAGGTCACACGCTTGGGTGCCAAGTGTGTCTTGACTATTGAGCTACATTTTATGAACTAAGCTCAAACAAGTTTTGAGAGCAACTTACTTACCAAGCTCTAAAAGGATCAATAGATCACACTTTCACGATTCGTATTCATACTAAAAATCAGAATCAAACAAGCTTTTACTCTAACATTTCACACGAGATTTTTGTTATCGTGGCTCATTTTGGTTAGTTTACACGTATCGTTCCCCCTATCGATTCATATCAACAGAATTATACTATGTCTGCCTTCTGACTTAAAAAAATTCCTGAGTAGCTGATGCTATTTATCCATTCAGGATATATTTGATGTATTTAAAGTATAGTTTTTATGTTCAATGTTATAATCTGAAGATTCTTTGCTACAAGTTATTTGAAAATAGAATTAGATGCATATTGCATTAGATGCCATATAGTGCTATGTCAAAAGAGAATTATCTTTAGTTGAACCGCACAAGCAAGATGCCATAGACTATTTGAAGTAGTAAACAAAAGAAAGATTTTAAACATAGGCACTTGTCGAGTGTTGACTCACATGTTAAATTACTTAACTCGTCTCCATTGTGTCAGTTGAACACTCCAACTTACAAAATGGTCATCCACACACCTCCCCAAAATTTATGTGTTACGTTAGCGTCAAGTGTTCACTAGACACGCTGGGGATGAGTTGGAGTGTTTAGTTATCAGTTGAAACCAAGTTGATGGGCACTCTCGAAGTTGGAGTTTTTACTTGTCAGTTGAGGCCAAGTTTGAGTGTTTGTTTATGTATTATGCCTTCTTAACTAACTTCAGACCAAGAAAGATAAAAGATCTCCAAAAATAACTTTTCTCCATAAGATGAGCCTGTCAAACATATTGTATGTTGATCTATGTTGCTCGGACTGTCCAAAAATATTGTCGTACTTTTGGAGGACATACATGCAACCTGATTGCATTTTTGAGAGTCGGAGCAACATAGATGTTGATGAACATGTTCGTGCGCTTAGACAATTCTAATATAGTTAACATCTATTGTAAACTGTAAAGTATCAATGAAAAGTAAGGGAAAAAGGGAAATAGTGAAATCTCTCAAGTACAAAGAAAGAGTATACTTATGTTAAACTAATGTCAAAATCTGTTAAGAGTTGCTAAATTGATGTGATTGCCAGAATTCCCTCTGTCTTCTCTTCACACTCCTTTTTAGTCCTTAAAACACTTTAAATATCTGTCCTTTGCCTCATTTTCATCTTAAAAACACAGAGTAAATTCACTTATAAGATGAAGAGCTATGTGGAATGGTATCCTATCATTATCA